AGCTTTGACGAAACTCCTCTCAGCTAGCACGTCTTTTCAAAGTGAAAGTAGCCTTGTCACCTGACCTGAATACAGCGCGCTGATTCGCTAAAATGGACTTATCGGCTTCTGTTCAAAAACAACAAGGGCGCTTGTCAGCTTCTGCAGTAAAACGTGAACTCGCGATGCCTTAAAGTGGACAATACCGGCTTTTTTGACGAAACGTGTTTAGGGTTCAGATCGCGCTATATGTGGAGAATAACGCACGGCTCTCAGTTCATTTTTTTTTTTTTTTAAGTGGCGTTTATCAGTTTTTGCAAATAAACTCTTCAAATGCACCTTCAGAAATAATTTCAAACAGCCACTACACACACATGGGGTCTGTCCCAAAACTTTGCATTTGAACACTTTGTTCAAATTTTTGTTGGGTCTGTTTACATGACATACTTGATCTAACACCATGTCCCAACTACACGCGGTGAAACGGTTTCTATTTCCGCGACGTCGCGGCTGGAACAACAACATACAAACTAATATGTGACCCTGGAGCACAAAAGCAGTCATAAGTAGCACAGGTATATTTGTAGCAATAGTCAACAATACACTGTCCAGGGTCACATATGACAGTAGATCATCTCAGGTACTTATTATGTGCTTTATTCAATGCTAAAAGTGTCTAATGTGAATTTGAATATTATTTTGTGTAACCTTATAGCCATACTGAAAGCAACAACAGATAGTTTACCCCTGATCTTGAAAATAAATTCAAGCAAACATGTACGTTAAAACTGAGAACAGTGTGGACGGGGATCGTTTCTGAAACGCAGTGAAAGCGCCAGTGTAGACGTGGATCGTTTTCGTTTTAAAACGGCGTTAGTGTAAATGTAAGTGTTTAAGAGGACATGAAGAGCGCAAGTTTGTGTAGAGCATTTGATTATAACTGATTGGACACAATACAGACGGATTCAAAGCAGCTTCACAGTAATTAACAGGACAATAGGAGTTAATGTTGCAAAATTCATGAATTATGAAACAAAACTCAATTTCAGCAGTTAAACAGTTCTAAAGAAGACAATAGCATCATTATTCAGAGCAATTCATGTTGATGTTTCTTATCAGCTGATATTGTCTGCCATCAAATCAATAGAACTGAATGCAATAGAACTTAAAAATGCAACATTTTTACAAATCTTATTTTACATATTTACATTTTCAATACACTGAACCTTAAAATAAACTTTTAAATGTCTGGATGTTTATTTCAGCTACAGAATAAAAATATCAATTTTAATTCCATGGCGGAAACCAGCTTTCAAAGTAGTTCCTGTGTAATAAACGTCAGTCTAATTGTGGTGCTTCTATTCAATTCAAGTTTATTTGTATAGTGCTTTTCACGATACAAATTGTTGCAAAGCAGCTTTACAGTAAATGAAGTTTCTACCATATATTTAGTAGCAGCTTATCAGTGCGGACTATGTCCAATTAATGTACATATGGCAGAAATGTATGGTAAAATTCAGTTAATGGCGTAATCAAACAGGACAAACCTAGGACAGATCCTTGTGGCACTCCATACTTTACTGGTGATAATTGAGATGACTCCCTGTTTAAATAAACAAAGTGGTAGCGATCGGACAGGTAGGATCTAAACCATCTTAAAGCCTGCCCTTGAATACCTGTATAGTTTTGTAATCGATCTATGAGTATGTCATGATCTATAGTGCTTCTAATTAGCTGTTACAAGCAGTTGCATACATTTTACGAAATACACACTTCTGCACCAATGCAATGTGCAGCAGTTTTTGCACCCAATTTTACTAGCAATTTTACTACTGAATTATTTAGTTTAACCTTCAGTGAAAAGTTTTCCTCAACGTTGCACAATTTCTGGCACATGTGTTTCTGAATATGATGAATGATGAGACAAGCTTAGCTTTAAATATGGAAGCGCTCCGAAGCGCTGTTTTAGATAGTGTGTTTAGTGTGCATTAAGGGCTTTGCTATTAGAACTCAGAGTGTTATTCAGACCTCAAGTGGCCAGGACCGTGTATTGGGATGGACCCAGAAATCTCTCCCTGCAGCTGTGATGAGTTCAGTGGTTGTAGGTGTTGTGTGTCACTGGAGTTCACTGTGTGTTGTTTCTGTCACAGATGCCGGCGTGTTACTGTTCGCCCAGCCAGTTCCCGGTGTCTGGACAGCTGTACCAGCCCATGGGTTCAGTGCCATACAGCGCTCAGAGTCAGATTCCTCCCGCACCCGCGCAGCAGCCAGGTACATCACTGCACACACACTAGGGCTGTCAAAATGGCTGATAAACTAAATTTGAATTTTGTACTTAAATATCATCAATATTCAAATTATATTCTAATTTAAAAGGCATAATTTCAGTTAGGGGGAAAAAAGCTTCTGGCTTCTCTCCTGAGGCCACAAGAGGGCGCATTGAGCAAAATATTACTAATGCACGTTTATTCAAAGCAATAAAGTAACACGGCTATCTTTGAAAAAAGTGCATAATGTTTAAAATAATGTTTATAAACCATATATAATTAAGTTGCTTAAACAATTAGAAACAAAACCGCATCATGTATGTATGTATAGTTTAATACAAAGGACCGTAAACCAATCACAAAGAGTACTTTTTCTATTTAAAAACTGAGATGCAGTGGGATGGGGAAAAAATGGCATAAAGTCTCGAGACATGTTTTTTTAAAAGTTGAACTTACATTAATTTTACATGGCTTTCTAAACATGCGGCTCTCTTGTGCGACACGTGAGTGCAAAGGTGATAGATGTCCCTCTAGAAAGTGTGATAAATCTGCGTTCTGTATGAATGGCTTGGTTTCAGTTTTGCCGTAAACAAGATCTTCTCCGCATTGATATTCTCTTTTTTCCCAATATTTTGAATGAACAACATAGCAGTGCCACATTCATTGGGTTCAACTGAATGACACCAACATCATCATCGCATCCCGTGTGCCACTGATAAGGCAGCCTGACACCACACACCGGAGCGACAACACGACACGCGAGAGCGAAAACACGACACGCGAGAGCGAAAGCACGACACACCGGAGCGAAAGCACGACACACCGGAGCGAAAACATGACACACATGAGAGCGAAAACACCACACGCGGGAGCGAAAACACCACACGCGAGAGCGAAGCGAAACAACACGCACCAGAGCGAAAACAACACACATGGCTTATATTGAAATCCTCCTACATTTTTCTTTACAAATCCTCGTTTTTTGCTTCTAATTAGTGACCGCCGTTTTGTTCTGTTCTCTCTCCACTGTGTTTCCGTATTTGTCACTAATCACCGGTGCGTGCGCGACGCTTACGTCCTACATCATCCGCCGGAACGGCTTGCACATATGACAGTCAGCAGAAGTGAGAAAAAAGTATTTATAACATTTTAAATATGGATAATTTTCTTACAAAAACGCATCAATTCGCTACAGAAGGCATTTATTCACCCCCGGACCCATGTGAGGCACGTTTTATTATTACGGATGCGTGCGCTTTATTTGACTACTTTTGGACTGTTGAACAAAAACACCCGCCTACTCCCGTTGTAACGCTTGGAAGAGCAAGGATAATATTTAATATAACTCCGATTGGAGTCATCTGAAAGAAGAAAGTCATATACTCCTAGAATGCCTTGAGGGTGAGTAAATCATGGGCTAATTTTCATTTTTGGGTGAAATAACCCTTTAACCCTTTTGGTGTTTTTTTTTATTTTATTTTTTGTTTAACCTTTATTTAACCAGGCAAGCTAATTAAGAACAAGTTCTTATTTTCAATAACATCCTGGCTGGAGAATTAATATCTCCTGAGAATCATACAAACATATATTACAATACATGAAAGCACATAGAAAAATAAAATAAAATCTCAGTTAAAACATTTACAGGTCGAGGTCAGAGCACTTAATAGTAATTTTTTAAATGTACATAGTGGAATATTTGTCTCTAGTTTCAATAGCTTTTGTAGCACATTCCAATCATTTGGGGCAGCAAATTTAATTAGTTTTTGAAACTTTGTAACTGTTTTGGCACTTGCTATGTGAATGCAAAAAAACAAAAAAAACATGGACATGATTCGAAAAGGTTAAATAGTCCTAAAATATAGTCACACTTGTGCTGTTTGCGGTCAAAAATGAGCGCATTGGAAATTAATTTCCATTCATTTCTGCTTGGTATTGCGGCCAAACTAAATCTGACTGAAACCTCATGTTTTATATCAACCTCAAATTCGGAACATAACTAGTCTACATTTATGGCTTTGATTTTCTTGCAGTTTTAGAGTAAATTATATGTTACATATAAAATATTAAAATATAATTTGTGCATTTTTCATAATAATAATAAACTTGAACTTCATAAAAAAAACAAAAACATCTTGTTTCACTTTTTAAACATTTTTCAAAGTTTTCAGGAATTATCTACCTCAGATAATTATCAAGTGTCTTCTTTAAAAAGAGACCAAACTTAAGTCTGCGCTCCAAAACATTTAAGATGTATGACAGTTTAAACTGGAAATTTAATTTTCAGGTTGATGCTCAAAATGTGATTAACAGGTAATAAATAGATCATAACAATTACATAAATATAATTTAGTACTATAAAAGCCACTGAAAATACAAAATATTGAATCAAACTAAAATATAGTACATTTCATTGAAGTAAAAAAAAAGACATTTCCACAGTTCTTCTGTGTATTTGGGCTTTAGTCTCAGTAGTTTCTGTCCCAGATGAACTCGATGGTGAGATCTGACCTTCTCCTGGTTCAAACCAAAATCTCACTGGATTACTGCAAGATCTGCAGCAGGAGTGTTTGAGAATCTAGATCGGATGTCTCCTCCCGGCTCACTGAAGCAAAAGACAGGATCAAGTATCTTTAAAGCAGTTGTGTCTGTCAGGCATCTGATGTGACTTTAGCACAGACCTGTATGAAGCACTGATATCAGCACAACACGTTTGGCCCTTTAATACGCTCAATTCAGGTTTTGTTTTAGCCGTATTGTTCTCTTGTGCGCGACAGATGCTTGACTGGATTGAATTGGAGAAGCTTTTCACGATGCTGATGGGAGCGTTTGGGCTGTCGGAGCGGCTGGATGCGGGGCCGAGGCACTGTCTGAGACGCCCTACGATTCTCACAGTGAACCGGTCTCTTTTCCAGCCCCTCACTCCTCCTCGAACACTCGTCTCTGCAGGATCACGCTGCGCTCCAGTCCGTCTGACGGTCACACAACATTAAGCCTTCAGTGTGTGCTGTGTGAATAAACGCTGAACACGCTTATCTCTCTTGGTTTGGTTACTATTGCTGTATGTCTTTAGTACTTATTTTAATGTTTTTTAAAGTCTCTTCTGTTCACCAAGGCTGCGTTTATTTTTGATTAAAAACAATACTGTAAAATTGTGATTATTAGAATTTAACATACCTGTTTTCTATGTGAATCTCTGTTAAACTGTAATTTATTTCTGTGATGCGCAGCTGTATTTTCAGCATCATTACTCCAGTCTTCAGTGTCACATGATCTTCAGAAATCATTCTAATATGCTGATTTGCTGCTCGAGAAACATTTCTGATTATTATCAATGCTGAAAACAGTTGTGCTGCACAATATTTTTGTGGAAACTGTGATGCATTTTATTTTTCAGGATTCACAGATGAATAGAAAGTTCAAAAGAACAGCATTTATTTGAAATGGAAATCTTTTGCAACATTATAAATGTCTTCACTGGCACTTTTGATCAATTGAATGCGTCCTTGATGAATAAAAGTATTAATTTTATTTTTTTTATCTTACTGACCCCAAACTTTTAAATGGTAGTGTATCACAGTTTCCAAAAAAAGTAATAATATTTTAGAATATTATTGTTTTTACTGTATTTTTGATCAAATAAATATTGGTAAACATAAGAGACTTTTTAAAACATTAAAAAGTCTTAATGCTCCAAATTTCCAAAGTCTCAAAACAGTCAAACTGATTAAAAACAGATTTCAGACTGATTCTGATTGAATGCGACGGATTTGAAGCTGATGAGATCTGATTTCTGTTGGGTTTAAAAATACACAGATGTGAATAACCTGTTTCTAGTTGTACATTTCATTTGCATCTTGAAGGAGCATGTTGGAATAATGTCGGAATGCTGTGTGTAGAGACGGAATGATGATGTTTGCCCCAGAAATGAAACCCTTCAGATGCTCCTGACGCGAAAATCCGGTGAAAACATTCCTCCTGTTCTCTTACCTGCAAGCTCAGCCGGAGTGTTTAATATAATATTCCCATCATGCTCTGCTCCTCAGTGGAGGTGAGAGAACAGAGCTAAAAATAGCGCGCATTCGCCGTCTCCTCGCCGCGGGCCGTCCACTTCCTTTGTCCCACTTCTGCTCTCATCTGGGCTAAATTGATTGCGTCCCTTTGGCCAAAAGCCAGCAGCTCCTCCACGGAGAGGAGGTCACACGCTCCCCGATAACCTTGACACCAATGCAAATTACCCTGCTCATAACGGGCCGCGCGTGTAAATTAATGCCTGTTCGTACGCTGACACGCAGAAGCTATCAAAGACGTGACGTCGCAGCCATTATAAAAGCTATTGTCATTTGGGGAGCGCGTGTGTTCGGATAATGAGAGGCAATTTAACGCTGCTGTTTTGCTGAGATCACTAGTGATTTAAAGCGTTTCGCTAGTAAGGGTATCATTAGCTTGTTCTGACATGAATCTAAATTCATAGATTTGAGATTACAGACACTTGTGATATAAGTATTTGAATAACTCAGAATGCATTCAAAATTTGTGTACTATTTTCACATTCCTGCTCCATTTGGACCTGAAGAATCATAATTTTATAAAACGGTAATTTTTCTGTCTTTTTTTCAATGTAACCTGTTATTACTGCATTTTCACGTTTTTTATTAAGTAATAAATTGAGAAATTATTTGAAATTCAAATCATACATGAATGAAAAAAACTGATGCAAAATATATTTATGTTTTTGTCAATTACTTCATTGAAGTTTATCATTGTATGACATTTATAAGAACATATAATTTAAGAATTACAGTATTGACACCATAGGAGTGAATGGAATTTAATTAAATTCCTTTGAATTTATAGCTCATAATTACTTAAAACCAGTCCAAATTAATTATTTTTAATTTTACTTTTTAATTTGACTGAAAATCAGTTTTTCATTCTGCAGTGGTTCGTCAATAAACAAACATATTATATAAGTATTTTTGACACCAATGGTACTCCATACATACCAGGTCCAAAATAACGTTATTTTAAAATGACTACATTTCTTAAAATATAATTGTAAAAAATATGAAAAAATAAATAATTTCACTTTCAGATGAAGAAAATCAGTTTTTCATGCTGCAGTGGTTCGTCAATAAGCAAACGTATTCATATTCATCAACAAAATTCAGTCCCAAAAGTGTGTGAGATGTTGGGAAAAGTGTTTTTTGACTATAATTTAAGTTCATGGATAATTCTACAAAAAGTATTTTTGACACTAATGGTACTCCATACATACCGGGTCCAAAATAACCAAACACAAAACGAAATTTTTGTGACATTATTAACATTATTTTAACATATATAACATAATAACATTATTTTAAAATACGTATATTTTAAAATTCTATATTATATTTATTAAAATATAATTGTAAAAAAATAAGAAAAAATTAATAAATAAATGACGTGTAAATGAGGATCTTAAAGAATTCAGTTTCATTCACTTACTAAAAACTATGCATTTTCTTAGAAATTTTTATGTATCTGCATTTTATTTATAATTTTCTGTATCTGCATTTTATTATTAATTTAAAAACTTTTTTTTGATTAGATAAAATTTTTCGATTTGATTAAAAAACTGATTTTGTTTTGTCAGTGAACAGTAAATGGTTTATTGGGTTTTTCTGTCATATTTCTTCTGTTTGGTTTCACGTGTTGCTGTTGAAGTTCTCGTATTGTCGTGTTTCAGTCGTTTCTGTACGTTTCTTCAGGTTACCAAACTGTGATGCCAAATCAGCAGCAGAACTACCACAACATGATTAGATGCACGCCGCCGCAGAATCAGATGCAAGGCATGATGGTCCAGTATCCTTCAGAGCCATCTTATCAGGTGAACGCGGCATTCTGGGAGCATGTAATGACTCTGTCAGCAGAGTAGAGATGTATCGGTGTGAAAATTTCTTATCACGGTTATCAGTATTATCACGGTATTGCTAAAATGTGCTGGAGACTGTTACTGAAAACTGTGCTTTATGCTGGACAGCATTTATTTATCCTCAGCTGTTCAAATCACGGTAATCAAATACGGTTTTAATGATAATTAAAAGCTGGTAATGGTTCCATCCCTGCAGCAGAGTTAATCACATCATTAGTGATTCTAAAGCTGTGGCTGTGAATGTGTTCTGTGTCAGGTGTCCGTGCCGCAGCAGACGTATCAGCAGCCCGTGTACTACAGCATCTTCCCTCCCCACCAGCAGAGCGCCGGCAGGTACATGCACTCATTCACTCACAACAAACTGCACCATTTATTTCATCTGCACAAGCACTAGGATTCATTCAGATCTTCTAGAAACTACAGATTAGGCTGCGTGATTAATTGAAAGAAAACAAAATTGCAATATGGCTGGGTTGCAATTCTCAAATCGCAAAGGCAATAATTTAATTATAAAAAGGAGCTCAATTTAAAAAAATTGACCCTTATGGCTGGTTTTGTGCTCCAGGGTCACATATGTGCTTGTGTTTCAGAGTGAAGCGTGTTGCTGTGTTCATTTACACATGAGCAGCTCGTGTTTTCAGCATCTCACAGCGGCTCGGTTCACAGTAAATAATCCACATGAACTCCATCTCTGAGTTTGGGTCGCTTTAATATGCATTTAGGAACAAAACAAGAGCCAACCTTCAAAACTCTTAACTCTTTTCTTATTTTACAGTGAAGTATTACAAAAGAAATATATATCTTTGTAGTATTACTACTACTACTAATAATAATAATAATTATTATTATTATTATTTTGGAGCCATACTGATTTTTATCAGAATAATTGCAATTAGATGTTTTCCTCAAACTGTGCAGCCCTACTACAGATGCTGTTTTATTATATTTTATCTTTTTTTTTTTTTTTAAGATCTTTTACTCGTTTTTGTAGCATTGCACTAGCAACGCCAAGGTCACGGGTTCGATTCCTATGGAATGCATGAACTGATCAGATTTGCACTTTAAATGCAATGCAAGTCACTTTGGAATAAAGCATCTGTCATATGCATAAATGCCCATCTCAAAAGGAGCCGAGAGCGTTACAGTGACATTCAGGGCTGGGGAGTAAAAAATAAATCATTTATGCACACCGATTTCCAAAACAGATTTGGAGTGTCATAATTACAATAAAAGCACACATTATTGTGACAATCCGCCGGCGTAAAACAGAAAATGCACGGAATAATGAATGTGAAGCTCATTGAGTGTATGGAGTTGAGCTGTGAGACTCTATTGTAAAAAACTGCTGAATTCATAACAATTTTCCATGTGTCTGCTGACGAATGTTCATATATATTTTTTAGAATAATAAATTCAGACTGATGTCATCTTCTGCTGAATAAACTCAAAATGAGACCATCTCATTGGTGTGTAAAAGGGCTGTATCTGCACAGGTTAGGAAGCGGTCGTCTCTCGGGACTGGACTTTAGTAGGCCACGCTCGAGATGATTTATAATGCAGCCGGTCTTAATATAACGCGGCGGGTCCCGAGAGGAGAGCGATCTCACGGCAGCACATCCTTCATGAAGCGGCTCCTCGCAGCTGCGTCACACGGCTCATGTCCTTATTAAAGCTATTTCAACATTTTGAACAATAGGACCCTACAATCCCTAATAAACCCTTTTATTTTTGGCAAACTAACAGAAGTTTACTGTCAAAATTAATACATGGAAGAAAAATTGCGTGCATATTCCTTTAAAAAAGTTTTAATAATAATTGTATTCATTTTTTTCTCAAATAAAGTGGTTAATCTGGTTGTAATATTTATTTTAATAATTGAATTGTTTTATTTAAATTTGACAGAAAATGGAATATATAAAGACGTACGGTATACAGTACAAAAGTAATACAAGAGTAATATATTTGTTACATGTATATATATATGCTAGTTTTCTCAAATGAAGCTGTAAAATTCTCATGAGGTGACTCTCACAGCAGCTCTGGAGAGCGAAACATGCTTATTTAAACCGTCTTTTTGCATTTTAATATTCACAGACACTAGTCCATATCACGATTCGAATTAAGTGACAGACCTACTTTTGATTTATTCATCCAAAAATTGACGAATTCCAATGGCATGAGTAAATTCCGTTTTTACGAATGGACTCCGTGATTCCATCCACGTTTTCGCAGAAACCATATGGCCCTAGAAATTTAACTTTAATGCGAAGGTAGTGCCGTCGCAATTCGGTCAGTACCCTTAAAGGGACAGTTCACCCAAAAATGAAAATTCTGTCATTAATTACTCACCCTTGTGTCGTTCCAAACCCGTAAGACCTTCGTTCATCTTCAGAACACAAATGACGATATTTTTGATGAAATCCGAGAGCTCTCTGACCTTACGGCGGATACGCGAGCGTGAGATCTTACGGGTTTGGAAGGACACGAGGGTGAGTGATTAATGACAGAATTTCCGTTTTTGGGTGAACTGTGCCTTTAAGGGTTCTGAATTCAGTGCCCAACCCTAGTGTGAGCTGAGTGTAGGTGACATGCTCATGTGTTTGCATGTGCTGGTCTCCTCAGCTCCTCCGTGGGGTTCCTGCCTCCTCCACGAGCGGAGCAGATGCCACTCCACAGCACCACGGCACCCTGCGGCTCGCAACAGATTCCCACCCAGCAGTGCTCAGGTACAAACCCATACGCATCTTCCTCTGCTCCTCTGCACTGCTTTCAAACTGTGATGTGATCCGTATCGCAATAATGAATACTTTTCACTTTTAGTTAAAATTTTAGTAATTGTCATTTTTATGAATTATTTATTATCATGTCTGTATAAGTTATTTATTTTAGTTAATTTAGTTTCAGTTATTTTTGTTCTTCAAGTGAAACTGGACAAAAATGAGAAACGTTGCCTTGGCAACTTGCAGAAATCATTTTTTAAAAATATGTAATTTAATTTAACATTTATTTTATTTCAAGTCACAATTTTTTTTTTTTTTTAGTTAACTAAAATAACGCTGCTTTGACTGTGGCTTCATAATTTTCCTAATGTTCATTGTTATGGTTCTCACAAAGTGAAGGTGTCAGAATAAAAGACCTGGGTCCGTATTCACAAAACATTTGATCTTACCACTAAGAGTTCTCCTAAGTAACAGTAAAGGTTTTTAGCTAAGAGTTTTCTCTTAAAACCTATTCACAAAGCTGCTGAGACTAACTTTTACTAAGGAACAGAGAGAAGTCTTGAGCTCAGAGTAAGGGGGCGGGGCTGAGCTCGTTGCTCCTAAATCGGCGAGTTATGAGCTACTTTTAGCCTGAAGATGTTTTGTGAATACGGTCCCAGAACAGTAACGGCTCAGTTTGTGTTATGATTCTGATGTTGTAAATGGTTTTGAAGGCATTGTGTGGTGAGTGTGTGTGCGTGTGTGTGCTGTAATTGTGTGTGTGTGTGTGTGTAGGAGCTCCGCCCCCAGCAGCAGGTGGAATGGTGATGATGCACCTGACGTTACCTGTGTCCCAGCAGCCTCAGTCTCATTCACCACCGCAGTGGAAACACAACAAATACTACAGCTCCGATCACACACACTCACAGAAGCCCGGCGACTTCTACGGTCTGGAACCGTCACAAGTAAGAACGCACCACATTACGCTCAAAAATACAGTATTTCATTTTTCTAATTCAGTGTGAAACGCTGAAAGCATTTGTTTTTGTGGCGAAACTCTTAACAGCAAAATGTGCAGATCTGACAAATACAAAATCACTAATGCACCTCAGTATGCTCTTATGTTATGTCAAAAGAATAGTTGACCCAAAAATGGAAATGTGCTGTAAATCTCTTTCTACAAACCTGATGAAGAAACAAACTCATCCTGATCTCTGATGAACTGATGGTAAGCAGATTTTCCGCAGCATCATCTGGATGTGTAACGGTTTGTTCACAGAGCAGTCCTCAGCTGGGAAGCTCGTCATCAACACACCTCACTAACGTAAAGAGCATCAGTCCGAGCCTCAACACTGTTCCCATCATGCCTCACTTCTCCAGATCCATGGTTTCAGGACAGGGTGAGTCCTCTGGTCCTGTCTGGTGTGTAATAGTGTTGAGGATGTTTTGAGGATCATCAGGTGTGTTGTTGTGTCAGGTGACATGCGCTTCCCGTACAGCCCTCAGATCCGCCCACCGTTACTTCAAGCCCCGCCCACGCTGTCCAGTCAGGTCAGCCCACCAATCACAATCCAGATCTCATTAACATGCTACTTCAGAAGCTTAGAATGCCATTTTTGGCCACTTTAACTTGCCAGAGTTTGAATAAATTATCAATATAATATATAATTGTGACCTGTGCTGGCAAAATGAGTCACAATGAGCACATTTTCAAAAAGGAGTTATTTTTACATTCTCTGTTCAAAATGATGTATGATTTGTTGGAATCAGCAACATTACATCTTTCCCCCCCACTTCTTTTCTTAATAATAATTACTAGATTAATAATCACAGTATAGCTATTATTTATTTTATCTTTGTTGTTATAAGAACTGATGCAAAAAATAAACAAATATAAAGAAACAAGTGTATTTTATTTTTCATTTTACATCTAAACATAAGCATTCAAGTCAGAAAAACAAATAGTAAAATGTGAAAATCACTTAAGTGTGTTCATTACAAATAAATAGATTATTAAAACTACAAAAGCAGTTCAATCAAGCAGCGAGTGATTCCCTCTTTTCTTTTATCGTTAGATTAATATTAATGAGACAGACGGTCTGTATTAAGACACAGTGTAATGCACGGATCTAATATAATGTTACACATCCGATGTTTCACTCGAGATATAGCAGATTATGTTTGTGTGAATACTTCAATATATTTAGCCTGCTGTAAATCTGTGTATATGTGGGATAGAGCGCAAGATACTCCTCTCAGAACACCTACAAATAAAGATACTTTTAGATGTTTAATTACTATTTGGAGCACTGGGGTCACTAGACGAGAGCTTAATGAACTCATGTTTGAGAAAACCTCAAATTTAACATTTTTCGTTTTTTTTCTATTTTTCACCCGTGCGCATTCACCCTCATTCTGCCAGCACGGCTCACAAATAAACACAATGTAAATCTGCATGAATATAAAGTGTGTTGGTCCTCTGTCTAGACTCCGGCAGGGATCCGGAAGCTGCCGAGGAAAGCGCTGTCTGCAGATCTCAGTGTAGGTGACGCAGGTAACCCTAACTCTGTTCCTCCAGACCCTGCAGAGCTTCGCTCCTCACGCTCCTCATGCTCCTCAGGATCTGCTGAACTCGTCAAGCTTGGAGCGAAGCTCTGCAGGAAAGTGGACCAGAGTTGCCCAGTGCTGCTGTAGAAACACACACCTGATGATGATGATCCTGCCTCTTCCTCCTCCGCAGGGTTCAGCTTGGGAACTAGGAGTTCAGTGTTTCTTAAAATTAGTCAAATTGTTAGAAATGTGTGTTTCATCTGTACATAGCAAACAGAGTGTTTTAAAGCTGGCCTTGTGTTTGTTAAATATCTCGTTATTATTATTATTATTGGCTGGATAACTTTAGTTGCTTTAAGTCATAATCATAATTCACTGGAGAAGTGTGAAATTCACTTTACTAGTGGTGGACTAAGTAAATTTCCTACCGTAAATATATCAAAACTTAATTTTTGATTAGTAATATGCATTGCTAAGAACTTCATTTGAACAACTTTAAAGATGATTTTCTCAATATTTAGATATTTTTGCACCCTCAGATTCCAGATTTTCAAATAGTTGTATCTCAGCCAAATATTGTCCTATCCTAACAAACCATACATCAATGGAAAGATTATTTATTCAGCTTTCAGATGATGCATAAATCTAAATTTTGAAAAATTGACCCTTATGACTGGTTTCGTGCTCCAGGGTCACATAACACCAAGTCCAATTTGTTGGTTAAAGTGTTTATTTGCATTTTTTAAATTATTTTTTTTGTGTGTGTGTGTGTGTGTGTGTGTGTGGAAAAAAATATTGTAATAGGATTATAGAATAACTATAGTATTTTTTTACAGATTTATTTTAAGTTAAATTCAGTTAATTTTCTAATTCAGTATTTCAGATTATTTTAATAAGTAAATATTAATTTATTGCATGTATTATTTAAATACATGCAATAGCTTTAAATTGTGATATGATTATATATAATCAGCTTGATATCAGCCGCTTCGGCCATTAAAACACTGCTATCACTCGGGCGCTGTTTGCTGGTGTTGTTGCACACACTTCTGGTTCAGTGAAGCTTGAGACCCACAGATGATGCAACAGACAGTAACCCCTGCAGTGTAAAGGGATCCTGATGACTGATCGGTGAATATTGTGTCTCCTGCAGTGACGAGCCGTGTGCTGGAGCTCAGTCGTGTGGATTGGTCCGGCTCTCATGCTCCAAAAACAATGAGAAGACCACAAGACGCCGGGCGTTTGAGCTCCAATCCTAACTCCTCAGAACGCAGCTGAGACCCACAGATGATGCAACAGACAGTAACCCCTGCAGTGTAAAGGGATCCTGATGACTGATGGGTGAATATTGTGTCTCCTGCAGTGACGAGCCGTGTGCTGGAGCTCAGTCGTGTGGATTGGTCCGGCTCTCATTCTCCAAAAACAATGAGAAGACCACAAGACGCCGGGCGTTTGAGCTCCAATCCTAACTCAGAACGCAGCTGAGTGACTGGAACAGATCACAATACAGCCGGAACTCTGCTGTTCTTTATTTTTTTATCTCCGTTTATTGGTTCCTTTGTGTTCCACTTCAGATGGACTTTTCCCGTTATTCAGTCCCTTTCTTCAGCAGCTGGCACTCGCCGTCTCGTGACAAACACAACCTGCTTTGTGTAAATAATTGGTAAAGCAGCTGTGTAATTCAGTTGGTTCTGTCTCCTCTGTGAATTGTGGGAATAGACAGCATGTTTTTTTGTTCATTTCTTTGTTTTTAAAGACATACGCACCTCAGCAGATCCACTGTCATGTTTTTAATAAGTTGAACGCTTGTGTTTTCTGTAGTGCTGTCAAACGATTAATCAGCCACAATAAAAGTTTTGTTTACATAATATATGTGTGTGTTCTGTGTATATTTATTATGTGCATATACATACACACAGTGTATATATATATATATTGAAAATATTTGCATGTATATATTTACATGTTATATATATATAAATATATTTAATATATGAACAGAACATATTTTTCTGAAGTGTATATGCATGTATACATAATAAATATACACAGAACACATTATGCAAACATGTCAATTCTAGTTTTATTTTTTTTGAGTTTTTTAATAATATATTCGTACTGGGGAAATAAAAAGAACAACAGTTTTGCACATTTAAATAAACTATATATATATATATATATTTTTTTTTCCTTTTAGAAATAGGTGTGGAAGTCTGAAAGCTGTTCAGTGTTTACTGGTGCAAGTCCATTTTTATTTCAGTTTGAGAATCAATCAATGTTTACACCAAATGATCAACTTTCTCAAAAGCTGGCGAGAGTCGGTTCGGGGTTTTTCACGCTTGTATAGACGCTCTGGCGTTGCTCTTCGTTGATCAGGCTTTATATTTCAGCGAGGAGTCCACGGTTCGTGAAGCCGATGCTTTTATTAGCTGTTTGTCTGCTGCATTACCCTGCTGTTCAGCTCATCTCCATTCTTCTGTGTTTTCCTCCTCCAGTAATGTGGCAGAAGAAAGATCCTCCACCTGCTGGTGCTCTTCTGGAGCTGGAGCTGCTGGAGTGCATGATAAAGGACTGCTTTTCTTCATATGGAGGTCGGGTAACGGTGTGACTCGGCTCTGTGCCGGCGAGATTAATAACGTGTAATTAAATCAACATCTGCAGAGCTCTGCGCCGAGCTTCTGTTTATTCAGCAGTTATTGATGTTTTTATCAGAAAGCCTCACCGTCCAGTCCTTCTCTGTTATACTACTGTAAAAGTGTGCAAGAACGCAGTATTTCTCGCTAAAACATTGAAGTCGCAGCAGAAGATTTCAGAGCTTCTTCACTCCAAGATCTCTCATCAGATAAAAACTGCTGCAGTATAATAACTAGTGATGTAACGATTAACAGCGAGCCGGTTGAAAATAGAGTCAAATATGCGACGATTCAAATAGTTTGAGATGCTGAACAAATCGCGATTCAGTTAGGGGTAGGAGTTTATATGAATGTATGTCTGAGGGGAACTTACTGTCTTTAGAAAAGTTTAGATGGTATTTTTTATTTTCCTCTTGCCTCTGTATAACGCATATTAAAGTTCATAAGTGCAGCGCTGCTTTGTTTACAGCGGTAACCAAGGAAACACTGTATCATTGCTGTTCATAAGTGCAGCACTGCTTTGTTTACAGCGGTAACCAAGGAAACACTGTATCATTGCTGTTCATAAGTGCAGCACTGCTTTGTTTACAGCGGTAACCAAGGAAACACTGTATCATTGCTGTTCATAAGTGCAGCACTGCTTTGTTTACAGCGGTAACCAAGGAAACACTGTATCATTGCTGTTCATAAGTGCAGCACTGCTTTGTTTACAGCGGTAACCAAGGAAACACTGTATCATTGCTGTTCATAAGTGCAGCACTGCTTTGTTTACAGCGGTAACCAAGGAAACACTGTATCATTGCTGTTCATAAGTGCAGCACTGCTTTGTTTACAGCGGTAACCAAGGAAACACTGTATCATTGCTGTTCATAAGTGCAGCACTGCTTTGTTTACAGCGGTAACCAAGGAAACACTGTATCATTGCTGTGTCTCATTTAGAAGGCTGCGCCCTCCGGAGGTCGCTTCCTCTGTAGGACGCATATATGAAGTGTCCTCTACCTAGAATTAAACGAGACGGCCTTCATAGGACCGGCGGAAAAGGAATCAGGAAGTATCACGTTGCTATGCCAACACATTTAGAGCATGGTTGCGCTCTCATACTAGTTAAATTAAGGAAAATTAGGAAAAATTAGAAAAAAAGGAGGAGGATATTAAAAACAAAGTTTATCCGTTTTTACCGAGGCGATTTAAGGTAAGTCGTAAACGCAGCACAGACAAAGCCTTAGTTTGTTTATGTGAAGTTATTTATTTGATTTGGGGCTTGTTTTAAAATTTCAATGTAGTTTTGTTATTTACATTTGCATTATATTTCATTTTTGTCATTTAGCAGACGCTTTTGTCCAAAGCGACTTACAAATGAGGACAATAGAAGCAATCAAAACCAACAAAAGAGCAATAATATGCAAGTGCTATATTAGTATATTATTATAGTATTATATTTCAATTTCACAAAGAAATGTGCAGTATTTTGTCCAAGCAATAATAAAAGGACACATTTAATTTATAATTTGTCTTAAATCTCATTTAGTTAAAGAAAAATCGTGAATCGAATTGAATCGTGAGTGCGAATCGTTACATCTCTACTAATAACGATACACGGAGCTTTTTCACAGACTGATGGTTTCCGCAATCATTCACATTATATTGCAAAGGTTTTAATATTTGCATTATTAAAATATTTTAATGTAGATTTCAGTGTTGTTTTAGTATTATTAATATGCTATCGTCATTTCTGTTAATATTTAAAGTTGGATTTTATTTTGATAATTTTTTAGTTTTTGTAAAAAAAAATGTTTAGTTTTTATGTCCATATAGTTTTTAATCTTTTGTTTTGTTTTAGTGTATTTAATTTTAGTACTTATACTTAATTGAAAATGGGAAATGTTGCCTTGGTAACTAGCTGACATAAAAGTTATAGTAAGGTTTTTTAATATTTTATTTCAGTTAATTTATTTCAAGTTGTGAGTTTTTTAATGGTTTTAGTTACTGATAATTGTGGTACATTTGCTGTACTTACATTACCTTGGCAATGAATTAGTTCAGAAACTTTCTACTACATCAATGGAGGGACTGATGGGAAATTTGCCAGCTTTCTCTTTTCTGATCAATGTCATTCATTTCTCAATATTTCCTCTTTAGGAAAGTCAGGGTTAGCGGTCTTCTCGTTCACAACTGGAATTACATGAGATCATAGAGCAAAGAGAAAAGATGAGTCTGAATATGAATGAGTGAGGATCTAATGTCCAGAGGTTGGTTATTCACAACAGGAGAGTCATGAACGTCCAAGCAACATTTCAATGAGGAGTATCTGACTGTATTAGATGTTAGACCTCGTGATCAGACCTGAGCAGCTGTCACTGAGATGAAGCACGTTATCATGCTCAAACACACCGAGCTATAACTCAATGCAAGCGTGATGTTCACGACTGAATATTAACAGTGACGTGCTTCAGATTTCACATTAGCAGATGCTTTCTAATAAGCAAAAAAGTATGGTGTTTACAAATAGAATATCAATATTTCCATGCGGCTCAAAATACACGTTCAATGGAAACATTGTGCATAATGATGGAGTTTGTAG